ACTTTTGGCTAAAAAGGCCTTAAATCAACACTTTTGGCAAAATAAATTGCCTTAAAATCAAATTGAATTTTTGGCGACAATCGCCTCAATCAAACACCTTTTAGCAAAACAAATTGCCTAAATCAACTCATTTGGCTAAGAGCCTTCCAAATAATCAAGTTTGGCGAGAGATCGCCTAAATCACATCAATTTTTTGGCAATGAATTGCCTAAAATCAATTCTTTTGGCTAAAGCCCTTTAAATCAACACTTTTTGGGCACACCAAATGCCTAAATCGAATCAATCAATTCTTTGGCAAAATGCCCTAAACAAAATTACCAAGCAACACACACTCAGCATTAAGCAATACCCACAAAAGCCCTTTAAAAGCAATCGAACTAAGTTGACTTTGATCTTCCATTTTCAAACGGAAGTACGTAGGCACTTTTAGGATTTAAACCCCCGAAGCAGGGCAAAGTCGAAATCATCGAATTCACTTCAACACTTTCATTGGTCAATTACCATTTCTTTGCTTGCAAAAGGCATGCATTTCCTGTAGATTCATTCAACATGACATGGTCTCGGATCCACCTCGGGTTCGCAAACCATGCCTTAAACATTGGGATAATTAATCTAGTAATTAGTTAATTAAATTGGAGTCAAACTTAAGGTTTTTTCCTAGTTTACCCTTAAAATAAATTTAAACAAACGCGGTGGCGACTCACACCATTCACATGCATTTTATGCCCTTAGTTCATATGGTATTTATTATGGGTCAGGTTAATTAAAATTGGAGTCAACTTAAGGTTTTTTTCCTAGTTTACCCTAAAATAATTAAACAAGGTGGCGACTCACACATTCACATGCATTTATGCCCTTAGTCATATGTATTTATATGTCTATCTGTTTGGGGGAGGGGTTCACAGATATAATTATTTGTAAATATATTGAAATCTATCTCAGTCACCAGATGTGAGTTCTTAGGTGCACTGAGTAGACTAGTGAACTTAAGTTAGACATTAAGTATGTCTGAACTATCATCTGCATAGTGTTGATAACTAAATCTATGTTTTAGTAGACATATGCTTCGTGTGGAAGGAGAAATTATAACACTATGACATGTGCATCATACCACTTGTGCGAGATGACGACCAAATGAGTTGCCAAGTTAAGTGATCTCAAATGTTGGTTATGTGAGCTCTTTGAGAATAATAGTTCTCTAAACTAGTACCCTTATGACTTTTGACTGATTCTTTAGATATAATTTAGTGATTGTTATCTTAGAGTGTTGCAAAAAAATCATGATTGATGCGATTGTATTTATGGGGCATTTCTAGAAAAGTGAGTTGAATTATGATCGAGAAAATTAATTTGAAGGGAAGATTATTTTGCAGTCACATTTGAGTTTGTTTATAAGCAAACATAATTGTGAACATGAAATATGTTATGAGATCAATGCTAATAATAAATATGATAAATAATCTGGGGTATTGCATACTTTTCTACTCTGTAGAGTTTTTTCTTTTTTCGAGATGTTGTATATCTCTAACAAGCGTATAACAGAGAACTCTCGAAGTATGCTAGTTACACGGTCTATATGCTAAGTATGAATGTCCAACTATATATAGGTCAAGTCTTATCATATGTGAGTGGAAGATGTTGGAATTAATGGATGGGTATGGGTACACCAATGACTAATCTTTTAAACCGGATCCATTAATAATAATTGATAATAATTCATATGTCTAATTATTATTATGAGTATTTAAATAAGTTTAAAAATAATCCTAGTTGGTTAATTTTAGAGAGTTTGTGTTTTAGTTGGATTCTCAATCCAACTAAAACACAAACTCTCTAAAATTAACCAACTAGGATTATATTTAAACTTATTCAAATACTCACAATCCAACTAAATTAAAAAGAAAAGGAGAATATGTTCTCCACTACGTTATCACAAATAGACAAAAATACAAAAAGGACTCTCTAGAAAAACCTATCCTCTCTTTTATTCACATAACGAAGAAAGAAGAGCTTTTAGACTGTGGACAACAGAAGCAATTCGTTTGATTGTGATTGCTCCTATAGTCAACAAACTGATAACGCAAGGCTAGAGGCTGTTCATCCGCTCTGCTACAAGAGGTAAGTATTTGACCCACTACTTTACATATAATGTATGGGTACATATATGATCGTGTGTTTTATTCAGTTACATTTTCTTAGAGTTAGGCTAGTGTTTGAGTTATTATATATTTATTTTTTTTATTTCCCTTTTTTTCAATATGTTTCAATTAATGCTTAAAAATCACATGAACAAATTATTTTTATGCCCTATCCATGCATTCGAAAGTCACTCCTTGATTTAAAACAAAAATGATTGTAAAATATATATAAAATAGAAAAATAAAATAAAAAAATAGACAAATTCTCATCTTTTGTTATCCAAACGTTTTCAATCATGCGGATCATAGACAGTCACACAATCTCGCTTATGCCAGTTGATCCCCAATAATGATGAATTTACCTTAAAAACTGCAAAAAAAATAAATAAATAAATAAAAGGAATAATGATGAATAACAATAAATTCATACACTTATCTTAAAAACCCAGAATTCCTTTAATCGAAAAATCTCTCCAATGGTCGCTACTGCCACTACCACTACAACACTTCTCTCTTGGGTTTCATCTTTAGGATTCACTTTGTCTTCTAACTCTAATGCTTCTACTTCTTCATCATTCTTAATCAGTGGCAGTGGTATATTTAGATTGTCAAATATGAGAAGAACACACATGCATATATAGCAAAATAATAAAAAAAGAACGAAATAAATAAAGAAATTAAAAAAAAAAAACCACAAATGCTTGCAAGTAATTAAAAGTGTACCAGCTATTTTACCATGAATAGTACAGCCATAAACTTACTTCATCTTCATCTTTTTTGTTCTTGCAGTCAATACTCCACCTTCATCAATCCTTCAATTGTCAATAAAGGTTAAGGACTTCAATCTAGAGGAAGTCATCCGAGTCTCTGAATATTTGAGAGAGAGAGAGAAGTGTTATATATAAATTATAATATCATATTGAATTTCAAATTGTAAAATACAACTAATTCTAGATAAAAGCTAAATTTATAATTCAAATAATTCAAAAGTGTTTGTTATTTGTTATATCTGTGAACTATTAATGAGAGTGGATTTTAAAAAATACTAGTCCAATTACAATACATAAAAATAAATAAAAAAATTCAGAAATTCCTAAAAAAAAAAAAAAGAAAGAGAGAATGCTGAATGAATAGAACACCAACTCAGTTTTTTTACTTTTTTTTCTTTTTTGTTTCAGTTTTTTTACTTTTTTTCTTTTTTGTTTCAGGATTATATAGATATATAGATACGAATTTTCAGATTTACTAAGTATTTTTCTTAGAGTTAATTATAAATTTGATATCTCAACTTATTAAAATTTTTTATTTTGGTGTGTCAACGGAAGTCATTTATAATCAGGTGTTTAAATCCAAAATAAAATTTCAATCAGGTGTCTTCGGCTTACATATCAAGCCGGGAATACCAATAGGATATGAATATTGTGCCACAATGGATATTTTGCTGACGTGAAAAAGAATGCTTAGTTGTCAACCATTGGATTAAATTAAATTAGTACACCTTACATTGAAATTAAAGTTTTAACTATTGGAGATCTTAACTTTTTATGAGCTAAGTATATAGGGACTGATTGAATTATTCGTGCAAATAGATATAATCCATGAAATCAAAGAAATTATCACTATGAAAGAGTTGATGGGCAATAATAAAATTAAATAAATATATAAAAGGAATTTCTTGCACACAAAAATATTATTATGGAATATTCACTAAGAATAGCAACGTTAAATCCATGTGTCCTACAAGGTTGTGTCTATAATTTCTTGGAGTGGATATTGGCAAGAATTGATTGAAACTTTAGTGCGGGCTCATCAACATAAGTCTTTGATTAATTTTATTCGATTATGCTTTATTAGTAAATTTTTTATTTATTAATTTTTTATTTTAGCCATACATTATATTTATTATATACTTCATCCGTTCTATAATTTTCATTTTACTTTCATTTTTTATCGGTTCCAGATTATTCTCCTATTTCTTTTTTTAAAAGTGAATAATATTTGAAGTTTATTATGTTACCTTTATCTAATATGTTTTTTTTTTTCAACAAATATAATAGTCAAACTACTATATTATCATTAATTAAATCTTGATATAAAGAAAATTAACATATCACCCTTTAACCTTCCAATAGAATTTTATTTAATCAAATATTTTGATTAATTTCAAGAACAATTCAATATAAATCATTTAATTTTTATAGATACTAACGCAAGGGTATATAAGAAAAAATGAAGCAAAAATTATTATTTAACCATATTAATTAAATTTTCTTAATCTATATGCAAGTCAAATCTGGACACAAATTATAGGACAGAAGGAGTATCATTTATCTTTTTTAGGAAAGTCTTATATGAATATAACTAGGTTTAAATAATAGTTTACTCAATTTGGAATTTTGGATATGGCATCTTCTGAGTAGATAAAACTCACCATCAAAAAGTTTTCCAGAAAGGAGAAAGTCTGTTCACACTTCTACATATTTTCCAGTGTTAGGCATGGAAAGTCTGTTGTATAAAACATCAAAATTCTTGCCCTACATATCTTTGAATCTTCAACTATATATATATATATAGAGAGAGAGAGAGAGAGAGAGAAAGAGAGAGAGAGAGAGAGAGAGAGAGAGAGAGAGGAGAAAGAAGAAGAAGAGAGGAGAGAGAGAGGAGAGAGAGAGAGAGAGAAAGAGAGAGAGAGAGAGAGAGAGAGAGAGAGAGAGAAGGAAAAATAACTATGGCAAAGTACTTATTTAGGATACGAAATATATAAATAAAAGAATTGGTAAGTTGTATTATTTGAATTGACGTTATAAAATGATGAATGTGTCAGAATATGGTAGCAACAATAATAGAATTTCTCTACAATTATCATACACAACGCCATGCAGAGGCAGTAAGTAAACACCTGTCTTGCCATCCGAGAGAAATAGCTTTCCCATCATCTCTTTCAAATACTCTAAATCCACCATTACTACTTTCTCCATCAAATTGCAGAGGACAATAATGGGTTCTAATTTTCAAAAGAAGCTTCGCTTGTATCAAACACTTTGAACTTAATTTCAAACCTGCAAATCCATGGCTCTCCATTCTTCCTTTCCATGTCTCCATCTTCTCAAATCTTGGACAATAACTATTTTCTTTATCAAAATTAAGCATACATTTAATTTCTTTACCAAGATGATTCTTTTCTATACTTAACCTTTCTAAGCTCTCTAATGGAAGACAATCATCTAAAGAATCAAACATTGCTGCAAAATAATGTAGAGACTCCATAAATCTTGATAAAAAGCTTCTAGGGCTTCTACTACTTTCTTGCTCTACCAAAATAACAATAGAAGGATTAAATGAGTACACTAATTTTAACGTATCAGAAATTTTAAGAGGATCATTTAAAGTATTTAGATGAAAAACTAAATTAACGGCTACTGTTTCATTCTTCCTTTTCTTGAAATTAATCATCTTTGATCCTCTTAATAATCCTTGAAACTCAAACACTAAATTTTTAAACCCTTTCGAAAAACTAACTAATCTACTCTCAGTTTCTTGCAATTCTTCAATGCTTCTTCCAAATCCTGTTATTCGAAGAAATACCCGATTACTAAATGTAGCTTTCTCTGAGACAGATTGTATTAAAGAAGGCCACTGAAACCCATAGCAAGCATCGAAATCAATAACGTGCAAAGCACGGTTATTGTTTTCTCCTGCTTCTTTCTCAAATTCTTCGAGTATTACTTGGTTTGCAGTGAAATGCGCGAATTGATAATAGGGAGAGACTCTATAGAGATGAGTGACAGCCATGAATTCTTCTTCGCTTGTCGGTTCTTTCATGATCATCTCATAAAACGGAGATTCTCGAGTTAAAACCCTGGCAGATAATCCATCTGCAAAATAAGCAACAACCCGTTGAACAGAATCGCCTGTTAATGATACACTTTGGTATAATTCAGTTAGATTTTGCAAAGCAGAAGGAATATTGTTCTCATCAACAGCAGTTGCAGTAATGAGAAGCAAATGAATTAAATGAAGACCTTTTCCATCTTCAAGAACTACTACTCCTTTTCTTTTACTGTCTGGTTTTAACATTTGTTCTCTCATTTGAAGTAGTCTAAAGATCTTCCCTTCACTTCCTTCATAGAAGTTTAATGGATTGAAACTAAGAGCTTTTATCTCCCTCTTTCTTTTTCTTTCCGGGCTTGAACGATCAGTAACAATTGCTAAACTAAGATTCAAAAGATCTTCTTCTTGTATGGCTTCCATCATTTTTGTGAATGAGAATAAGAAAGAGAGAGAAGTGAAATTGAAACAATGAAAGAGAAAGAGGAGATGTGATTTTAAGGAAGATTAATGGGATCAAAGGGAATAACTCATAGAAATTCCATTGTGTCATGACATGGGAATAGGAACAAAGACAAGAGGGGATAAAGTCATCCTTGTTGATTACATTGGAGATTTTTTTTTTTTTTTTTTTTTTTACCTTTGTTGATACATTTGGAGATTTTTTTTTTTTTTTTTTTCTAAAATTCCAAGTTGCGGAAGCCATTAATAAAAATTATTTTTTTTTTTTTTTTTTTTTCTAAATTCCAAGTGCGGAAAGCATTTAATAAATAATAATTTAATAATTAAGTGTCTACACGAATAATGTAAACACAAACCGCAAGGAATGGAGTTATAGAAATTTACCATGATACTTTTTTTTTAATAATATGCTTTTAACATAAATGAAATTGGTATGCTATATTATCTAAGAGATAAAAACGTGTTGAAATTATGAAGTTCTCGTATGTATGAACGCGAAAGAAAACGTATACACGTTCAATGTTATTAAATCGAATATGCGTCTTAAAACATAAAAAATTAAAAACTAAACATAGGGCGTGTTCGGAAAAATTAATTATTTTAATAGCTGTTAGTTGTTTTAGTAGTATTTAATTGGATAACTTGTGATAAAATGCTAAAAGTTTAATGTTACAGGATTAATCTTTTATAAAATGTTATCTTAACATCTAAGCTAGTTGATATCTTATGTTATCAAACACTATAAAAAATAACTTTTAGCATTTTAAAATTATTTAAAAAGTTATTGTCAAACACAAGCGATAGTTATCTAGCGTTGATCAGTGCCATGTAGAAAAAATTAACGACTAGGAATGGAGACAATTAATAAGGGTATCTTTTTTAAATATATGTTCAAGAATCAGTGTGATAGGTCAAGAAGACATTGAAAATGTAGTAATTATGAATTGGGATGCTTTTGGAAAAACAAAGTACTAATTGTTGTTATGTTTTCAGGTTCTTTGGTAATTCGGAAGCTGAATATAAAGACATATAGAATCGACAAAAGACAGCAGAAAAAATGGGGTATCCAACCAACCTACCGTCCTGTAAGACTTGTCTTTACTTTCTCCTTCTAGATGCTCTTAAATGTAGTATTCTATATACCAACTACCACTTTAATTTTAATATTTGTTTTTAATTAAATTTTCTTTGCCCAAATCTTGTCCTACAGATTTGTATATATATTGTATTAATTCTCGTTCAGTAATGTGGATTGAAAGGGAATTGAATTTGGACAACACCTTCTCATTTGCCCAAAGATTTGGAATGGGCATTAGAAGAAAACCTAATCTTAGTCCTTATCATGTTTTTGCTTTAAATTTTTTATTCTTAATTCCTTTAAATTTCTTCTCTACATAAGACATTTGTGTAGATAATTGCTAAATAAACTCAATTAACAGATGAAAAGTATTTCCAATTCAACCTTTCATTTAATCATTTATTTAAATACCCTTTTTTGTTTCGTATCGATTTTAAAAAATAGGGATATTAATTAGGGATTAAACAAAAATTTTTAAAATTTAGACCCAAAGGCTCCTCTAGTCCCCATAGTCGTTCTTACATAAATTACGCTTTCTGTCCCAAAATATAAGTCGTTTAAGGTTTTTGTACAAAAATTAAATGTTATTATAGAGTTCAAAATGTCTTATTTTCAATAGGAATCTAATTTTGGAAAGAATCTCCCAAATATATGGGTAGCTGTGTTATAAACAACGGAAAATCCTTTATGAAATGGGTGGAGTAGCAGAAAATATAACGAGAAAATCAATTTTCAACATTTAAAAAGAGAAAATACTTTTCTATATATATGGGAAAATAGGGATGAGGTTTACATACTCAGAAACCTGAGAATGAACCGATCAAAATATTGGAATTCAACTTGTGCAACCCATTTTTCCATGAGATGTTGTCAACCAAAAGCCCCCTTGGTGTATAGGAAAATAAATTTTAATCTCATCAGAAATAATTATTCTCAATGAAAAAAAAAATTACGATTTAGAATCAACATAAGAAAATTTATAAGAAATCAAATATAAGAAAGTCAATCAGATTCATTTAGTTAGTCTTCTCACCTATGTGAGGAATTAAATATTTGAGTTTGAGTCCTCTCCACATTTCACCAATTTGATGAACCACGAAAAGGACTACCATTTATTGTGTAATATGAGATTTTATTTGGATGCTAATAAATAAAAAAATAAAAAAAATTTGAAATTCACTTATTTCAATTTTCATTCTCATTCCGATAAATTGGAAACCATTTGTCAGGTCTTGTACTTATTGTCTTAATATAGAGTCTTTGACATATAAAGGAAAGGATATACATTTGTGAGAATAAACATAGTTTTTATATTTTAATAATTTCAATAAATTTTTATTTAATTTTCTACACATACTTTTGTTGGATCGTACAAAAATTGAATAAAAGAACATTAAGGATTGGATAAATGAATTGGGTTAATTAAGGAATAATTAGTGAAGTCATTACATAAAAAAAGGTGTTTGAATAAGTCTCATATAAAGAAAAAGAAAGATCTCTTGAAAATCGTTTCTCCAAAAGTCACGTAAAACATGGAGGCTCCTGTGCTCTCTATTCAACCCTTAATTAATTGTCCTCATTATGGAACACAAGTACGCAATTTTTTTTAATTTAAATTAATAATATGCCTAAACCAGTTAGAATCCAGTTGGTACGTAATCATGATCTCATTATAATATTAATCAAAGTTTAGTTATGTATGTTAAAAATTAAATCATAACGCATATATTTTTGTTTTATAAATGTTATATATATATATATATATATAATATTTTTGTTTATATAATGTATCAATATATTATTAATATATATATTATATGACACGCATATAAAATTTGAGCATAAAAAATATCCTCACTTAATATTAATATGCAAAATTAAGAAAACTCCAATATACATAATATTTACTCCTTCAATTTGGTTAATAATAAATAGAAATTTTCTTAAAGATTAAAGATTTGATATTTTCAATTTTATTCTTACTTATCAGATTTAAAAATAAGAATTAATAAATAATAATAATAATAATAATAATATAGAAATTTAACTATTACATTTATTGATAAATAAGCATATTAAATAAGAGTAAAATAGTATTATGAGATAAGAATTATGAGACAGAGTATATATTTAATCAGAATATTTTCGAGCTGTTCTGTAAATTTTTTATGTGGCCGAATTTAAAGATATTGTTAATTCTTATACTTTATGCACACATAAGGTTAATTTTTCAAGTTCATCTATATCTGTATCCTGGACCAATGTAATAAAGATTGTGTAGTCCATGAAGTTGACACATGGCAAGTTCTTGAACATCCTAGCCATGCAAGAAATAAACTACCTGTATATATATAAGCCAAAAATCTTGGCGATGAAGGACATGATCCATTAATAAGGTAGGAACGATTCCCATATGGGTGGCACCTGCATCCATCAAACATGCACACCATTTCCGGACTTCTCACTGTTGCTAATTCCACGAGAAATCTTTATATATATATATATATATATATTTTAATATAATATATATATATATATAAACATTAGGCCTTAATCACTAAAAAGCCTGGAAATTTTTTATTTTCTTTTAAATTTAATCAATAATTCATTTTTTCATCAATGTATACTGAACTTATTTTTATTGTCAATGTAATAGAATCTATATGTGGTCAGAGTGATGCCAGCCTTCTAGAAGCAACAAATTTACCCGTCAAAATTGGATTGCTGATAGGTGAAGATATATAAAACATAGGCTTAATCACTAAAAAAGCCTGAATTTTTTATTTTCTTTTAAATTTAATCAATAATTTTCATTTTTTCAATCAATGTATTGTACTTATTTTTTATTGTCAATTATAGTATCTATATGGGGTCGAGTGATGCAGCTCTAGAAGCAAACAAATTTACCCGTCAAAATTTGGATTGCTGATGGTGTAAGTTACTTACTGAAAGTTAATTAAAGTCCGTTAATTACAAAATTGTACTAGATTCTTTCAAACTTGTATTGAAATGAGAAGAAGATTATCTCAACGAAGCAATCTTCCAAATTATAAATCTTAAAAATGATCAATGACCAAAAAATGGCTATATGGATGTGAGCTTATGTAATGTGAGGTCAACTAATAGCAAATAAGCAATAAACTAACTAATTATTGGCGGAGGCCGTGACTGACAAGAAAAAAATAAAGTGAGCTAGTAATTGCCAAAATTAAAAATATGGACTAAATTTACCAAAAATGCCAAAATTTAAATTTTTTTTGGTAATTTAGCCTGAAATATATTATGTACAAATGACAGGAAAATCTTACCAGAAATTAATTTTTATAAAATGTATTTTTTTTCCAAAAGGATAGCTTAAGCACAAGTAAAAAAAGAATGATAATTACTAGTGTGAAAAGACAATTCCGTCTGTGGAAAAAATTGCAAGAATACTTTTTGAAGAAACGTCAAGATTTATATATAATTTTCTCCACGATTATATTTGTGGTTGTAGAAAAACTTTGTGGAAAGGACAAAGATAACATAGTTTCAATCTTTTTAATTTTTTTTTTTTTGTTTGGAATAATTTCAAACTTCATATTCCTTCTTCTGAAATTTCTCTGTTCCAGCTCAAATTAGACTTGGTCAAAGGCTGGTTCCGAATCAGAACCAATCCAAAGTGACCGATTTTGATTTCAGACCAACTCGATTCTAATTTTTGTAATCGAACCAAGTGCAAATGGTGAAACCACAGTTCCGTTAAAGGGAAGCAAGCTAAAAAACTTGAATATCATGTCAAAATCGAAATTGAACCAAAATCAATTGAAATGATTCAATGAAATCCAAGCCAAACGTGGGAGCCTTAAACTGATAATTCGAAGAATCAGCCAGCCATAACTCTAATGTTTTCTGAGATTTTGTGTATTGAACTCCTATTATTGTGTAAGTTTCCAATTTAAAGACACTAATCACAAAGGTATTTAATAATAAAATTAAGAAATATATTAAGTACTAAAAAAATATTAAATTAAGAAATTGCATTGTTTTCTGAACAAGTATTATGCATACACAAATTTGTTTTTGTTTCCTTTTTCCTCTAAACTTAATATTTTTCTATTTTTTGGAAAACCTTGAAATTTGTTTATTCATTAACAAATTTCTCATCTTCAATTTATCCTTTTAAATAAGTTTTCATATTATTAATTAAATCAAGGTTTGATTTACCTAAATTTGGTTATGGATTAAGAAAAATAAATATTCGTTAAAATGAGTATAGTTATGACTATTCGCTAGGAAAAAAAATAGTAATAATTTTAAAAAAATTATTTTTTTATTAATTTGGTCCATAAGAAAATCAATAGACCGAGTCTAGACAAATCTAATTTATTAAATAACAATAAATAAAAGCTCAATAAACCCAAATTCAAAAAAGTAGAGAGTTTGAAAATGGGTTATGCCTTTCCTTTTTGACAATATATGAATATGAGATGCAAAGAACATGAATTGTATTGTGTGAGAAGGTTCACATTTATTCACTTTCAAATGAAAATATGTTTTTATTCTATATATATATATATCCATGTTAGATTCGAGCCATCTCAAATTAATACCTAACCATTTGTCTTTATCTTATATATATTGTAGTATTGTTTCAAGTCATGAAAGAAAAATTGAAAATTATGAAAATAATATAGTTTTAATGACAGTTAAGAAGGTAGTTTGATGTCGGGAAAGACAAAGTCAGAAGTCAAAGATCCACTAGATTCATTCTGTAATTTCTACCAAATTAAATATAAATATTAATTAATTATTAAGAAACCATTCTAAAAAAGTTTTTGAGGGTGAAGCATATCAATCATATATGTTAAAAATAAATATTATATGGATTTCATGATTCAAATTTTTCTTTTAAACTTTTAATTAATATTAATGATTTTGTCCCACTCTATCTTTTAATTGATTATTTTTAACTTTTCTTTCTTTTTTTTTTTTAAAAAAAAAAGATTACTCTTTTTGGTAATAGAAACGATATTATGATAATAAAGTAATATTATAATAAGTTAAGAAAAAAAATTAAAGCGTTCTGAAATTTAAATTCTCATAACGAATTAAGAGTGTTAATTTTTTAGTAATTGTTGAAATAATTATTCAAACTAATTTCAAAGAATATAATTCATGCAATTCAGAATTGGAATATACTTTTCCATGGGAGGGATATAAAAAAACAAAAAAAAAATCATGAATTTTTCAGTTATGAATTAATTAAAAAGTGTATCATTTTGCTGATAATCTTAAGAATATAAACATATATTTAACGGAAACTAAAAAAAAATATCAATATAATTAATATTGCCGAACCTTACCATAACATGCCAACCACTTCAAGACTAAATATATAAATTTATTTACATATATAAAAAGGAAAGCTGAGATTACAAAGAAAGACATAACTTTGGCGTTTTCTTTGGATTTTTACATGATTTGAATATTCTTCTTTTAGGGGAAAAAAGAAAGTTCTATTCTCCAATCTGAAATCAGGATAAAAAAGAAAGAATAGAAGGGGTCAAATTTGTCGTTCAATGCTTTGATTCCTTGTAAAGAAAGGGTCATTTTCTTACCAAAAACCCATTTGTTCCATTACCATTGCATTGGCAGATTCATTGTTCTCAGTTTTGTAAGATACGATCATGATGACTCATATGCTTTTGGTGTCAAAAACGCCATATATTTTTTACCACTCTCAATTTTCAATTTTTCATTTTTGACTCCTTGAATTTGAATATTTTAATTTATAAATTGCATATATTATTTTACTATACACTCTAATTCATAAAATTAAATCGATTAAATAGTATTTAACTGTTAAAAATGTAAAAAATATTGTATAAAAAGTTACATTATTAATTAAATTAGTATTTTGTATATCCAAAATTTAAAATTTTAAAATTATTATTATAATTAGTATGGAGATGTATATAATATTATCAAAATTTATAACTTTAAGTGAAAAAAATGACAGTAAAATTTAAGGTAGAATAAAAATTTGAGTGAAAAAGTAGAACTATGTGAAAATTATGATGTGGTTTCAACAATATATGTCAACTTTTGAAGGCCATATTCTCCAATGTATTTGGGTGGTTAGGACTTATGAGAAATGACACCTCAGCAATACTCTTATTTTTCTCATATTTGGCTTCTCATTTCAAAGATTTGATTTGGGAATTGAATTTTAAGTAATTTTCATCCTTGAAATCAGTGAGAAATAAATATTAACAACTTGGTAGGTAAAAGTTCAAATAATTTAACATGTGATTTTAATACTCTCTTCCTTATAAAATAATTGGGACAGTTTTAGAATAAATATCTAGAGAATGGTAAAAAAATTTTAACAGAGATTGGGTAATTAATATATTCAAGATCCCATGAATTCCCTTCTCTTAATTAGGAGTATGGACTTTTTCATGTGAAATAATTGTCTCATTCCCTAGATCTCAAGTCTAGGGTAGTTTGTTACTTGTAATAAATTCTATAGATAATTAGTATAAATCTAGTATTGTTTGAAAATTTTATATTTTTTTATTTAATTGTCAAAGTTAAAAGCATCTATAATATTTGGATCATAAAACAAACAAACAAACAAAAGCTTGGATATCAATAAAAATAAATAAGACCACTAGCTAAATTTGATCCGATGGCTAAAACAGACTTTGAAAAATTTGAATGCCTTGCATATCGTAAACAAGCAAAAACAAGCAAGATTGAAAGTTTTGATTATAAAGACCAATCAATTACTTTTTATAGTCATATAAATTTACGTTTAGTTGCTCATTAGTTTTTCAACTGCTTATATATATCCAGCACAACTTAAATAGAACAATAATTTTAATTATCATGGAATCATCTTCGGAGAAAAGCTGCAGGCAAGAATCTTTTTAGCTTTTTTCCATAGATAATCAAGACTGATCCTAACAATGGCCAACTTGTTACAACAGCAATGAAAGCTAGCAACCATATTGATTTTCCATGTCGTCGAGAAATCTGATTTTTTTGTCTTGTTGTATCGGGAAACTTGTCTTCCTGGATGTTTTTACTGTGTTCGGAGTTTTGAGCAGTTCCTGATACAAAATCAGACTTTACTTCTGCATGATGCTCTTCTTGTCCTACAGCAGAAATCATTTTGTTAGTTTTTTTTTTTTTTTTTTTTATCGGGAAACTTGTCTTCCTGGATGTGTTTTTTCACTGTTGTTCGGATTTTTTGAGACGAGTCCGTGATACAAAAATCAAGACTTTACTTCTGCCATGAATGCCTAGTTCTGTCCTACAGCAGAAAGTCGGATTTGTTTAGCTTTTTTTTTTTTTTTGTGCACCTTCCCGTGAGCGCAAGACTTTCTTTATCGGCATTTTATGAATTATTATTCATCAAAGTACATTTATCAGATCGGTCTAGCATTACTCACCGCCCAGCAGCAACCACCATTCCATCCTGTGCAATGGTTCTCACTATGCGGCCCTGATCAATTGAAATTCCTTCACATGAATGCAAAGTTCACAGGTATAGCTCCTTTTTTTTCTTTTTTTTTTTTTTTTTTTTTTTTATTTTTCTTCTTTTTTTTTTTTTTTTTTTATTTTTTTTATTTTTTTTTTTTTTTTTCTTTATTTTTTTTTTTTTTTCCTTTTTTTTTTTTTTTTTTTTTTTTTTTTTTTTTTTTCTTTTTATTTTTTTGTTTTTTTTTTTTTCTTTTTTCTTTTTTTTCGTTCCTCTTTGTTTCCCGTTTTAATTCTTTTCCCTTTTTCTTTTTTTTTGTTTTTTTCTTTTTTTTTTTCTTTTTTTTTTTTTTTTCTTTTTTTTTTTTCTTTTTTTTTTCTTTTTTTTTTTTTTTTTTTTTTTGCACTTCCCGTGACGAAGCTTTCTTATCGGTTTTTTGAATTATTATTCATCAGATACATTATCAGATCGTCTTCTTTACTCACCGCCCACTGCAACCACCATTCCATCCTGTGCAATGTTTAAATATGGGCCCTGATCAATTGAAATTCCTTCAGATGAATGCAAGTTCACAGTAAGCTCCTGCAAATACGGTGAAAGAAAGAAGTTTCAAATTACGAAAATTGGAATTTGCGGAATGAAGAGAAACTTGGACTAATGAGCCTCATATCCAATAATTCAACAGGATTCAAAGACAACATTTGCAACCACAAGTTCTAAAACTTATAATATTATTTTGTCAGTTTGACAGGTAAAATCATTGTAGGTAACAACATTGCACCTTTTGTACATGCATGTAAGGACTAGTGTGTAGAACACTGAGATATTCATTAACAGCCCTTACCCACCTGCAAACATAGAGATATAGGAGAATTAGAAACTAACAAAAACAACAGAGGTATTCAGTATCAAAAATTAAAGGTCTGTGCAATATTCCTTCCTTAAGGATCACAATTTAGTGACCAAATGATTGTACCGAATAATTCACCAATAACAAAGAATATCCTATAGCAACCGTAAGTACCACAAGCTGGCTGCAGATAATCCTTCAAAGAATGCAAGGTGTCCTCCATTCCTTGGTGTGGCCAACACAATATTTTTATTTGCTCTGACAAGAAGGAAAAGCATGTAAAATGTAAATGTATGTCTACGCGCATAATTACATAAATGCATTAGATCAATCAGGACCATGACAATAGGTATTCTAAGAGGAAAAAATAACTGAAAAAAAAAAAAAAAATTGGTTCCACCTGCATTCATCCCAAGGAATGGCTTCCCTAGTGCAAACTGGATCATCCAGGGCACTAATACAAAGTAATGGTACTGAAACATTTCTTACATAATAGGAACTGCTACAGTGCCTGTAGTATGTATCCACAGTCTGGAAGAACATTACAATATTTTTGGTTAGTCACAGAATAGAAGTTTGAAGAACTAGATGGAATGTGTCAGTTATCATCTATTGATACCTCAAATTTCCCAACAAGGCAGGTCGCACAGTTGTCAAAATCTCGAATTGAGCGTGACTTTCAAAGCACAAGATTATATAATCAAGTAAAAAGCTTTTGTCAGAGAAGACGAGAAAGATAACATATGTATAATCACAATAACGCCTATATGCCAGACATACAATACTTTGAAAATGTTAGCTATCATGAAAACTATTCTCATGGAAATCATAAAAGAAGGAGTGAATTACTACTCAGTTCCTCAGTCATACTCAAAATACTTTTGGAATGTCGACTATCCCACATCGGTGAATAAAGGAACAATTAATGGGAATAAATGTTGCAGCAACTAAAGAAAAATAGCTTAGGCCATTTTGGTGGAAGTAAGCAATGAAGAAGCCCAAGTCAAACCAAACCGTCCCAATTTGATTCAACACTCCATGGGCCCAAAAATCCAACAAACACATATATAATCCTTTGGTTTTATTCCCATTGCACTACTTAATCCTTTCATTAAATTCACCATTAATTAGAAAGATTAAGTAATGTAAGACGACAAAATCAAGGGACTGTATAATTAAATTTTAAAAATAAGAGGTACATATTAATATATTTGAGTATAGCCAAGGGACAAAATAGTGAATCACTCTTTTATGCGCCTTTACATGCCATGTAACTATCATGTGCATTTGTTAGAGGCAATAACAACATTTCACTTGCAATTAATAGAAATAAACAAAAGAACGAAGTAGTGTAATGAAGATAAAACCAAGGAACTATATAATTAAATTCAAAAATAGAGGGTCATGACTACTGCATTTGAGTATAATCAGAGGAATAAATAATTCACTCTAAAAGAAAATGTAGCTTTAAACATAGAATGTTACAAGTGATTGGCATTCAAGCGATCTCATGAAAACTATTCAACTGAAAGTAAAATAAAACCCTCAAGAGAATAGAAGAAGGAAAGCTTGACTAAGTAACAAAAGCAAATTGTTAGGACCAAAGGGTTTGATAACCCTTTAACTTAGGTTAATCAAGCCCCTTAATTTTAATTGCATGCAATTGAGCCCTCTATCTCCTCAAATTTGAATATTTAGGCCTAACTCAAAAAAGCATCAATGAAAAATCTGTTAATGAAGTTAATAAACTTCCTCCTCCATTAACACTGATAAAAAATTGTTTAAAAATTGAAAATGGGCTCAAAACACATAATGGTAATCTGCACCGACATTTCTCAAATTCAATGGCGCCTAAAAGCAAACAGCTTAAGGAGAAAATGAAGTTGTGAAACAACTGTGACAATGAGGGAAACTCGACTTGGAGAACTAACTCAAACTCAGCTATTCCACCAATTGAGTTACCCAACATAAAACTAGGAACACCGGTGAAATGAAAAGAAGGATAAGGTGAAGCTGGAAAAGAAAGAAGATATTGAGATCAAGATTGACATTAAAAGTGAAGATGAAGAAGCCAAATAGTGATGGGACCAAAAACACCATTGTGAATCTGTGATTGAATATGATTGAATATTGAGTGTTTACAATGTTAAGATTCAACACTTGTCTCATTTTTCTGTTTGATAAAAATGGAAGACATGATAGGAAACATACAAGTTTAAGCCCATTACCAGAGACCCTTTAGGGGGGGAAAAAACAAAAAAGAAAAAACTTCTGACTTAATATTTACTGGTGATTTATTTGGAAGGGAAACCAAAAAGACATTTAGTCAAAGGAAGCCCCTGAAACAGAAAACCGGCAAAGGAAGCAAGGGAAACTCAAAGAAGATAGGGGATAAGAAATTGGCCACCACAACCCCCACAAAAGTTAAAAAGAGAGAGAGAGAGAGAGCTGAAGTCTATTTCTATATTCATTCACTACCTGATATGCAGACTAGCCTTTGAATGTGCACGTTATACTTGGAGAAAAAGGAAAATAATAGCTTTTAGCAGCTATCCAACATGCCACAAGTTACAGCATGAGCATGAAAAGCTGAAGGTTTATGAAAGCATCTTGAAAAAGAGTGGTTGATAAAGGAAGATGATTGCAAGGAAAAAAAATTAAGATAAAGAATTTCTCCTGGTCAAAAACATGCATAGGAAGTGTTTTTTTTTTTTTTTATTAATATGTTACTGGTGATTTATAGAAGGGAAACCCAAAACATACATTTATTCAAATGGAAGGTTAGGCCCAGTGAAACACGAAAAACCGCGCAATAAGAAGCAAGGGTAAACTCAAAGAGAAGATAGGCGGATAAGAAATTGGCCACCACAACCCCCCCACAAAAGTTAAACAAGAGACGCGTGATCAGAGAATGAGAGTCCTTGTTCTAGCATTTGTCTTCACCTGTCCTCTACATTCATTCACTACCCTGAGTATGCAGAACTAGCCTTCGATGTGCAGTTTATACTTGATAGAAAAGGAAAAACTAAGCTTTAGCCACTTATCCAACATCCACCAAAGTTACGCATGAGCCATGAAAAGCTGAAGGTTTATGAAAGCATCTTGAAAAAGACGTGGTGATAAATGCGAAGTAGTGATTGCAAGCGAAAAAAAATTAAGCATAAAGAATTTCTCCTGAGTCTTCAAAAACATGCCATAGGAAGTGGTTTTTTTTTTTTTTTTAGCTGATTTGTAACTCTAGATATTAACAAATAACACAGCCATTAATTAAAAGAATAAATTTACCTATCACCAGTACAAAGAAGAATCAGTCCGACAAATTCACAGCAAGCTATTAATTTGTTAATCAACAAGCTACGTGGATAAAACCACCATGCCTTGGTGTCCACACCTACAGACAGATGTTTTACCAAAAGCCCAGATTAATTGTCCACCTTATATCTAGTCCAAGGTAAATTGCCAGAACGAAGATCAGTATATGCCAAATGTTTTTTACCCGACAATTTCCAAAGGAAAAAATGGTGTTTCTGCCACTTTTTTTTTTTTTTTTTAGCTTGACTTTGTAACTCTAGATATAACAACATACACAGCCATTAATAAAAGAATAAAGTTTACATCACCAGTACAAAGAAGAATAGTCCGAAATTCACAAGCTATTAATTTGTAATCAACAACTACGTGGTAAACCACATGCCTGTGTCCATCACCCTCAGACAGATGTTACCAAAAGCAGATTAATTGTTCCACCTATATCTAGTCCAAGGAAAAATTGCAGAACAAGATCATAATGCAAATGTTTTACCCGACAATTTCCAATGAAAAATGGTAGCACAACATGTGCCTTTTTTTTTCCTATTAAAGCAATACATATTCATTATTGTCAGTGTTGATTAAGCGATGCATACCAACCAACACTAGCATAGACATACCATTCTTATTTCTAAGTGTGCTTATCATTTTTATTAGAAGATTGTCCTACATACATAAGAATCCAACAGGAGAAAAATATTGATCAGTAGTCAAACTACAAAGAACACCCAATACGCCTTTTGCCAGGCAATATCCATTGTTCACAGTAAATGAACAAGCCTAAAAAGAGAGGAAAAAAGGAAAGGAAAGAAAGATATTATCAAACTAAAGCCAATTACTAAAAACTCATTTTTGATGTGTATGCAGACTTGTATTGAAAAAACCTAAATTTTTTTAAAAAATAACATGTTACAAAGAAAGTAAACAAAAATGGAGACAGAAGACCTGAAAAGGCTAAACATCATAATAGAATAGGGCAATTCTTGCAATCAAGTACTTAATTTGCTATGCTGATTTGGCTACTAACATGTTCACTCTAAATTCTTTGCATGCAGAAGATTATCAAGAACATTAGGAGGAACCAACCTTTTTTATGCCTTCCCAATTAGCAAGCCGAGTAAAATGAGGCTCATGTCTGCAATGATAATTTGGAATCTTTCAATGAATTTTACTAAGCACCACCATCTAGATTTCACACTCAATAACTCGATTAAAAAGGTTAACACAAACATACAATTTTGCATAACCTTGAAGGCCAATTGCTAAAGCCCTGTCATAGAACTTTTGCAACAGTCTGCGGCATATAAATCTATCTCCAATCTACAAAAGAACATAAATATCAATAATTACATAGTGGAAGAAACAATACATATGACGTGAAACAAACTAAACTTGATGTATCTACACATTTGTTCCAGGTATTATTTGTTGCATTAGGTCCAACCCCTAACTACAAGAATTGATAACTATAATATGGATTCATATTAGCCAGAGATACTGTGAGTTTCAAGCACGACACAACAAGCTCTAAGCATTATATAAATGAAACGACAAAGGAGGCTTGAGTCTCATTACTATTTCATTTTAAGCAAGAACGCATTATTGATTCATTTTTAAGTAAGAAACAGAACCTAAATATTTAAGGCTTTCCTATGGAAGTTCAATTCCTATACAATCATGTAAAGCCATAATTGTCTCAGCAATAATGTGTGACCAAATATTTTCTTGAGACAAAATTATGGCTTTGTATAAATGTTATAATATGTTTCTCCAAAAGAAAAATGTTAAAAAGTTATCTGCTTTAACGTATTAGCCTGAAATGCACAGCAATTGCCATTTTTAATTGATGTAGAGTAGAGGAAGAGCAAAATAGGTGAGGAGTGAGACAGGTTATGCAGGAGCATTAATTAGAACCAAGCATCCAAATTAATTAACAATAATTAGGAGCATGCATCTAAATTAATTAGGATTTCAATCTGTCTTTTAATTTTTCTTCTTTTAATAATCCAATTTAATGAAGAATGTGAACAGCTTGTAGTTAATTAAGTAATATAATTTCTCGAATTAGGGGAACATGATACCGCAACAATACGAGTACTTAAGAACAAAGGAAAAAGAAAGTATTGAGGAGGGATTCAATAATACCCAATTCGTCATCTGTGCTCCACACAACAAAAGAGGGAACTAATATAGGCTCCAATCAACTGCCAATCTAAGGGAAAAAGAAATCCTACTTAATGGTGTCCTAATAAGCAGCAAATACCATAACAGATTTCATAATCAGATATCCTGAAGTATTGGACTCGAAAGAAATTTGTCCATGTAAAGAAAAACCTAATATTACTAGAACTAAAATTGCAAAAAGCATAGCAGTGAACTTCCTTTTGTTATGCCATTTGCATCTCTTTGTTGGCAAAGGCAATGATGACAATGGTATATTTCTCTTTCATTGCAACAATATTTTTTGTATGGAAGTATAGTGTCAACTACAAGAGCATTTTGATTCTTGAACTCTTAAGTTTTGGCATCAACTTGGATTGAAGATTAAAACTCTAAACATTTCCAATAAAACGCTCATCATCTTGCTTTTATTCAATAACTGTTGGCTATACCTGTCCTCCATTACTACAGTTGGACTTGATACAGCTAGTAAATTGCTTATAACTCTGTTCTCATTTCAAAATTTTGTTGTTAGAAGGAATTAATTGGAAAGTTGCATCAAAATCTTCAAGCTGCTCCAAGTTTCAGCAACTGATCGTCTCATTGACAGTAATTGCTTTACATTTAATAATATCTAAAAAAATCCTCTCTTGAGGAAACGCTTCGCATTTAAACCATTCAGCTGTGAACAACTGACTGTCTCACTGAAAGAAAACTTTCAGAAAATGTGTCTTATTTAGCAAAGAGATGGAACCATCTTTTTGCCTTCTTTGAATGTGAAAATTCAGTATTTCACCCTCTTAATGGTGCCTGAGTGCATATATGTGAGTATTCTTATATTCTTATTTAGCAAAGAGAGGAACCATTCTTTTTGCCTTTCTTTGAATGTGAAAATTCAGTAAATTTTCACACCCTCTTTAATTGGTGCCTGAGTGCATATATGTGAGTATTCTATATATAGTATATATATATAGTATATATATTAATATAATAATTATATATATATAGACACACATATATATAGACACACATATAGACACACAAGCACACACACATATACACTAGAGGAGTTCATAAACAATGTTATGACCTTGTTTACTACCCAAACAAAAAAGACAGAAAAAAGAATGTTGTCAACTAAATAGATGAAATGGAGGCAAAAAAGTAAAAATTATCAGTAGACATATGCAAGAAATGGGAGAAATTTCAACCCTCATGAATAACTCTGTTTGAAAGATTAAATTCCTTAGAGAGGTTTTACATTAAGCTGAAACACTGACCAAGAGATCCCATGGATTGCAAATGGCTGCAGCCCCTGCAACATGAGTTCTCTCCCCATCCTCCCCAAGATATTTTACCTGTAATCAAATTGTTAAGAATAAAGAATCAGTATAGATATTGAGCTATCAATAGTATTATTGGATGACACCAAATTTGACTGAGCGACAATGAACAAATAGATCTTTGAGCAATAACTATATACATCCCACAAAGAGACTAATATGAACTGCAAATTATTTATTTCAAGCCAATATGAACAAGAAGCCTCCTGCATAACCAGTTAGCACTGAAACTAACTTCACAAAATTGTCAAGGTACTCTTCCTTCCGTGATATTGTAAATTGTTTTTATGGTCATCAACCAAATGACATGCTAATTTGAATCTAAAAGGAAAAAAAAAAGGAGAAATCTGAACAACAAACAATTTCAATTTAAGGACTTGGCTCTGCAACCTCCAAAATAAAGTTAATCAACCTCAGGCAGAATCTGTGGTATAGAATCCTTTCAACCACAGACAGAAAGCTTATTAATTTGAAAACTGACCTCCACAGGTTCCTAGAGAGGAAGAGGACTTCACCGGAGAAATTTATTTTCTCTAGGGATTGAAAGATTAACAATGCAAATTTGAAGGGAAAGGGTGGGACAACACACCTTCAATAATGAGAAAGCCTCAAGTGGACAGAAGACCTTCCTAATTTGAAGGTAATTTTTTTTCTTCCTTCCTAAAAACCAATTAATGAATGTCTGCTAATTTTGTTCAGCCACATTCTGTTGGATCTATTCATAGTTATTAAAGGTGCACCTCAGGCACGCCTCAGGCGCGCCTTACTTAAGGCTCAAGGGCTTGCGCCTCAACTACCCTGAGGCAGGCGACTTCACTCAGGCTATCACCTTTGGGTAGAGGCATGCGCCTTTTTTGCGCCTAACGCTCGAGAAAGGCGCGCCTTTCTATTTTTTGTTTTCCAGAACAAGTCAGCGCGCCTTCTCTATTTTTTGTTTTCCAGACAAGTCACGCTAAGGGTTTTTTTTTTCCAAATATAAAGCTATTAGCCAATCTCTACTTACACAAAATAAATAAATAAATATAAAAGAAAAGAAATAAAATGCAACACAAAAACCGGTGATGTGCTTTGTGATCCAACCTCCACTCCATCTAGCACTCACCTCTTGCAATCTAGTCTTTAGCCTAATTCCATCCAAATATAACTCTTTCAATTTTTCTTCCTATATTTGCTTTCTATTTCTTTTCTATTTTTCAGTCTTTTGATTATACTCTTTTCCATCTTAACTTTAATATCTTAAAATAAAACTTGTCATCTTGCCATTTTTTTTCTTGTTTATACGTGTTTCTTTTCATGTTTTCTACTTTTTTCTTTGTTTTTTTCTTTGTTTTTTTTTTTTTTTTTTTTTTTTTTTTTTTTTTTTTTTTTTTGCGCCTTCACTTCACTCAGGCACGCAACTTCGCCTGGAGGCAGCGCCTAGGACTCCAGCAGCCCTTTGCCACCTTAGTGCGCCCTTGCACCCTTTAATTTTACTATGGATCCAGTTAAATTCAACATTTGTTTGGCATGGGGGAAAGAAAAGAAAATTTCATAAAAATACTTTTTTTTTTTTTTTTTTTTTTTGCGCCTCACTTCACTCAGGCACGCAACTTCGCCTGGAGGCTAGCGCCTAGGCTCCAGCAGCCCTTTGCACCTTAGTGCGCCTTGCACCTTTAATTACTATGGATCCAGTTAAAATTCAACATTTGTTTGCATGGGGGAAAAGAAAAGAAAATTTCATAAAATACCTTTCTTATCAACTACTTTTCAAGAAGAGAGGGGAGGGGGAGGGGGAGGGGGGGAGATAATAAATGAAGGAAGACTATATCACTAAGAAAAGGATAAGAGACCCTATCAACAGCTGTCAGCTAGGCCGCTAAGGAATTTGGCCAACAAACACAAATGGAAAAAACCCCATGAAGCTTAGGAAATTAAAGTCTCAAAGATTTATACACACCCAAAACAACTTACCAGAACGTTGGCACCAATGCTAGTTCCAACAGCAAATAAAGGAGCCTTGGGAAATTCGTGATGGAGATAATTAATGACTATCCTTATATCTTCTGTCCACCCAGCATTGTAAAAGCAATCAGACTGCACAATATATTAATGAAAGGGAGAAAAACTTATATTCAGTAAGAAAAATAGATATACCATCAAGCTTATTGAGAAGCTCCATAAATGATACTGCTCAACTGATAATTGTCTATTCTTTAAAATATTTGAGATTTTGATAGTATTTATGGATTTTCAAAAACATGAGAAAGCTTCTAATCCTTAGAGATTAAAAAGTCTATTTTAATTGAACACCAAATGAGATCTATCACTTTGTGACTGATCAAGATCTAGGTTTCATGCATAATTTATTGTTGTTCCTCTGTGTGTATATGCATATATATAAGTATTCAGTTCCTGACTGAAACAAGTCCTTTCATGTATCCACTTGTGAAATTGAGTAAATCTTAATATTCAAGCAGAGGAAAGACCAATTTATTTACTTGGGACTCAGGAAGTCAAAGAGGTTAAATAAACTTAAGAGAAAATTAAGATAGAATAAGTCCTCGCAAACTATATATCATAAGCTTCATGTTTTCAATCAGCATCATATGATCTCACTATAAATCTGTAATCATATCAACTTGCTGTATTTTCTTACATTCCAGCATTAGCTTTATGGAGAAAATAGACCAGGATTTAACTCACCCCAAACGCTAGCTGAAGGACAGGAGATTTCTGCAAGTCTTACATATAGCTTAAACTCCTTATCCCAAACCAATGTGAGACAAGATACTCCCTTACATTCAGGCATGAACATTTAGAGCATGAAGTTTATGGGCAAACACATTTGCAAATGATCCAAAATTGAAGTAGGGTAGGCTCTAATACCATATGAAGAAAATGGACCTTTTATATATAGCTTTGGTACCATGTTATAATTGCAGTCCAACTATTGCCAACCACTAGCCAATTAGATAGTTGGCCTCCACTAATTATATGCCCTTGTGCTTCTCCAAAAATGCAGCTGGCTATGGGGTCAGGCTGCTGGGACTAGACATCCAGACAGGAAATTGGACAACCAGACCAAACCTGCTCTAATACCAATTGTTATAAACTCAGAAGAATCGTATCTCAAAAGCTAGCCATTCATTTCCAAACAAGTTTTCAATGTCCAATGTCCGTTAAAGAAGTAATTTTCATTATTTATTGAAAAAAAATTTAAAAACTTGTAGTCAGAAATTGTTAACATAGATGAAGCCATTAAACAATTGAGACTGTTAACAAAACAATTGATACCTTGTCTTAACAGAAAATTTCCAAGTGAGTTGAAATGACATGCTTTTATGAATAAAATAGAAAAAACATAAGTCTTCCACAGTGTCCATAACACATAATTGCTGTGAAGATCAAAACCAAACAAATTCTACATGCCAACACAATTGAACATAGCAAGAGGTCAAAATATTTGGTAGCAACAAAGTGTTACTTCTGCCACAAAATATCAAGAGTAGAACAACTGTAAAATTGCACACTATCTCCTTGACAAGGAAGGAAATGGTCCTTAATGTTATTGCATTTCTTAACCTGAAAATGCATTTATTGAACTGAAAGAGGAAAAAAAAAAAAAAAGAAAAAGAAAACTTACTGTAATTGAAACACCACCCAGTCCTCGATGATTGCTAACAACAACGTTCCACCCACGTTTTGCCACATTGAAGACAAGATGCTTTATGTACTACAATTTATATCAAACATATGAAAGATGTTTCATATACTATAGTTCACATAAATAAAATAACCAAGCATAGGTGCAATACTACAAGTGAGCACACGTGCACATACATACGTAACATATACACATGTGAATCCATCCATAAATCAATCCTTTAAACTACTTTGATAAGACAAGAGCACATAGAAATCAAGTGACTACCAGATGTTAAAATCATTAAAGAATGATAAAGTAATAGTTTCTAAATCCCACTGCTGTCTCACTTACCATAATTTTTATTGATCCCGCATATTTGCTTATGTTATGTTTGGAGGAAATATTTGAATGAAAAGAAATAAAAAAAAAAAAATGCATGAGAATTTAGCTTGGATGAGTCTTCTAGTTTGGCGGTTCTCATTTGTGGAGTTGGAACAACTAAAACTGCAGGTTTCCACATTAGAAATCTCATTGCATCTCATTAATCATCAAAGAAATAAATGCAGGTTTCCAAATTTTATTCAGTTATAGTTGGTTTGGGAAAGGAAAAAAAAACGAAATTTACAGTGTTTTAGATATTAAAGCATTCGATTTTAAAAGTTTAAGTTTTCGGAATTCATATTACAGTTGGCAAACGAATTAGAAAAAATAAACCTCAGAGATTACAAACAAAGATGCATACTTATGAAACTAGATAGTTTCTTCAAGCTGTGTTTTGCATTACTGTTTGAGCCACTGTTTAGAAAAATCACTTTGTTCAAAACACTGATCAGATCATTAAAGTTTGTTTTTAGGGTGAATTTCATATATACTGGTCATAGAAGTTCCAAAACAGTTAAACAGCATTCCAAAACTGCTTTTTTCCAACAGTGTTTAAAAGAATGTTCCAACCACAATGCCAAACAGTCTCTTCCAATTTGTTCACTACTTATGAGCTACTAAGTATTTAGTTCATAACACAGTTTTCATGTCCTCAACCAAGGTCTCAAAAAAAAAAAAAAAAAAAAAAAAAAACAGTCTCTCCTCAATTTGTTCACTACTTATTTGAAGGCTTAACTAAGTATTTAGTTCATAACACAGTTTTCATGTCCTCAAACCAAGGGGTCTTCAAAAAAAAAAAAAAAAAAATAAAACAACTGAAAGGCCTATTTACTTAACCCTTGCAACTTAGCATAACTCTTTTTAACGTTCAAAATATACATAACATTTGAAAAAAAAAAAAAAAAAAAAAAAACTGAAAGGATTACTAAGCCCTTGCACTAGCAACTTTTTAAGTTCAAAATATACATAACATTTGAGGCTTGTGTAAATAGTTTTCCAGTGAACTTCACTTCCAAATCAAACGAATTAGCAAGAGACTGAACTTGTATATCCTGCAGAACCACCTAAAAAACATAATGAAATTTAGAGCAAAATTACAAGATTATCTAACTTACAGCAGCAGCAGAGTCACTTGTCAAGCCAGGAATCACAACAACAATAGGAGTTGTATCGTCTTTTGGAATGGCATTATTCATGAGAAAACAATCTCCTGAAACTGCAGGGAAATTGAACTTTATTGATTGGAAGCCCAAAATGTGGGTACGTATAGATTATCAGAGAACTTCACTTACCATCAGAATGCATCAACCAGTCCAAAGCAATGGTTCCACCATCAGAAGTATAATACATTTGTCTAAAAGCCCATATATTTACATAGACATTTTTTAGATATAAACAAACTTAAACAAGAAAAAAAAGAACACCAATAATATTAATAACCATCACCTTCTATAGTTGAAAACAGGAGGTCGCCCAAAGAAATTCAAGAAACAAGTCTGAAAATGAGGACTGGAAAGCCACGGAGTTGCCAAATACCTAAAAGATTAAATTCAAAAAAAAAACGAATTAAAAACAAAATTCAAAAACAAGGGGTATATTGAAAAAGCTACAATATTTTCTCACCTCCCATGAAGAATTTTACAGTAGGAAACGACGCCGTTGTAGATTGGAGATGAAGAATTGTAGGTAAGGCCAATGGAGGTACCACGAAACCCAGAAAACAAATCTCGAAACAAATGGAATTCGAGGAAATTGTATAGAAAAATAAATGAGAAAATCGTAAATGCAAAGAAATAATGCGAAAGGGGTATTAGGGAAAAAGCATGGAAGAGAAGAGTGTATGGATACATAGAAGAAGAAGAAGAAGAAGAAGAAGAAGAAGAAGATTGATCGATGGAAGCTGAGCAATCCATCAGAGCTAGATTCATTTGAGAGTGAGAGAATCGAAAGTTTATTGTTTGATAGTGGTTTTGTTTTGACGCAACTCTCACGAAATTTAGTTTGGTTTGTTAGTTAAACGTTTGGTTTCCGTTTGTTGTCTTTTAAGTGAGATAAGACAACCGACCAACTTACACGTGCTACAGTAACCTTATAACACTGTGGAAAAATTTGCCAAATCCATATCGAGAATTTATAAACCAAACAAATAAAATTAAAAATTTTTAAAAAAATTTTTAACTATATATATTTTTTTTAAATGTACAGTGAGAAATACTCTCATTTTAATGAAAATACTAAATTTCATTGATCTGATCATAAATGAAGGCATAATGGTAAGTTTTTTCCATCAATGGGTTTCTTCACAGTTAAATTAGTTTTTTAAATTAATGAAAATGATATTTTTTTCTCTCTTCACTTCACTTTCGTTCTCTTCATTTGATCTCCTCTGCGTAACCAACAATGTCACTGTCTCATTTTTTCTCTACACTATGCAAGCAAATTATTGTTCTTAGGACTATATTGTTTGTATATGAGGTTAGTTAATTAGCTACTTGGCTTATTTTTGTATCATAATATGCACCGGAGGTGTTCATTAAAATGTCTCATTGAAGCTTTTCTTTTTCAACTTTTTGAGATTATCTTTATTAAGCATGATTGTGATTCACATCCAAAGTCGCACATGCCTTCTTTTTCTGGTTTTGCCAAATTGTTCACACTAAAATAGCAGCAAAACCCCCTCACAGATAATATCATCCAAGAAAGTCAGGGTATAGGCATGAAATTTTTTCTAAAATGGTTATAATAATGTTAATTTTGCATTTTCAAAAAAGAAAAAAAAAATCTGTTGGCACCCTGATATGTTATTTTTAAATTTATCCATTTTGCAATTGTTGTGAAAATAATGATCTTTTGCAATTTGTAATATGGGTTTTTGGTTTTGCAATATTGTGTTTGTTTCTGCTACAGATTTTATTTCATGGTGTATAGTGAGCCATTGTACAATTTCTAAAATCTATAGTCTCTTGCAATTTTCACATGTCTTTTAGTTTTGTGGTGAGGTTTATTAGCTATACGCATACTTAGCGTTAACTGTGCTTGATTTTGTGTATTTGATGCATTCTGAAGAAAGGCAATTAACCCATGAGAGTTTGCTGTGAATTGAGTTTGAAGAATTGATCATATTTTATATTAGTTTCTAAATCTTTGAGCTTTTGAAAAAGGAATTGAGATTGACAAATTATGCAAGCTTGGATAACCAGAGATCAGTGAGGAGTTCAGGAAGCTTGTTAAAGGCAACAGCTACAGCTCCATTGAAGTGAAGTTGATGCAAGTGTTGCTATAGATTTTTTTGTGTATTTTGCGATGAAGATGATGTACTTGATTGGAGATAATTTTGCTGAAGTCATTTAGATTCTCATTGTACTCTGTTATCTTTTAATTCTTCATATCTTGTATTAGTTGAAGTTAAGTGAGAGTAGTTGAAAAACGTATGATGCATCTTACTTTAAGCTTTAGTTTAGAAGCTAAACTTTCTTGATTTATGGACGTTTGGTGAACAAACTTTAGAATAGTTCTTGTATAATTATTTTCTCTGTGCTATAGTGAAGATAAGATCTTTTCTCTTCACTCTCATATAGTTCTCTGCTGAATATTTCCTTCTCTTTCTAAATTGTCTGCTCTTATAAACCAACAAAGCTAAATTAGATTTATTCATTTTTTAATTTCAAGAACATAGAAAATGAATCAACCAAGAATTAGAATTCTATATGACATTTTTGTGTTCAGATGTTTCAAAAACATTCTACAAGGTGAAAACTATCCCACCTCTCTCTTCCAAACTGACCTTTAGGATCATTCTTTTTATAAGATACTTAACGGAAAAAATGGAAAAATTGGACGAAATGACCTCATAATCTGATCGAAATAAACTATAAAAATATTTTAGTCTATTTTCTAAAAGACAGAGACAAATTACTTGTATTTCGCAAATTATAAAGATTATACTGTAATTTATGGTCCTTTGCAGTGCCATTGATTTGATTTTTCTTTTTTTTTTTTTTCTTTTGTTTAGTGAAAAGAACATGTGCTCACCGTGATTTGTTTACCATGTCAATCTAACTTGACTTGACTTTACCTACTTTTTAAAAAAAAAAAAAAAATCGAAAAAGAAAGGCATTCTTATACTGGACTATTTGAGAAGCCTTTTTTCAATTTTTATTTTTGCTAATTTTTTTATTCTGCCTGGCTTTTGATCAAGTGGACAAAGTTTACAATCCACTTTACAATAGACAAATCTATTATTCTTGAAAAATCAGCAACTAGTCTTATAAACTTTGGTTTGAATTCTTTTAAACTCCAAACCTAGTCCTTTATATTTGCATGGATATTACGAACTGGTAGACTTTGAAAAGAAGAAAGAAAAAAATTAATTTATTTTTTTTGCTTTTTTTAGGTCTTTGCTCAATTTGTGAAACTCCATCAAAATGGTTTGCATCATTAATCTTTTTATTTCTCACAAAATTCCAAACATGAAAATTTTGTGTAATGACAAAGAGGATTCAAATCTTAGAATGACTTTCACTTTTTAAAGATTCACTGATGAATATTTTGGAGCTAAAACATTAAGTAAAATAGACCCCTCTCACCTTATGGATTGGACTATCGAACGTACTTATAATTCCAACTTTATATTAAGTAGTTAAACATGTAAAATGCTGCTTGTTGTAATTTTTACTTCATTCACTTCAAACTCGATCAAATAATCTTCCGCTTTTGAGAAGTCGCATCCACCAATAAAGTTTCTTGTCATCTTCCTTTCAAATTTATTAGTGAATTTACCTTCGTCGAATGTTATTGGGAGTGGCTTGAAGATGTGTTGGCAACCAAAAAGCAACTACTTTTAAAACCCAAAGCGTATCATGCTTTGTTCGCATCGCTCTTCACTTATGATCGCTTTCCTAATGTTATTCCACATTTCTATGAACATTGGAGTTCTTCAACAAATACTCTTTTCCTCCCAGTTGGAAAAGAGTTGATTTTTCTTTAGGATTTGAAATTCCTAGGAGGACTTTCAATCAATGGCTCATTTTATGATGAGATGATCCTTTCAGCTGCAGATCTTACTAGAGTTGATAGAGGTGGAACTTTGTTCTTACCACGAAGCTGCAAATACTTATGTTATGCATACTACAAAAATGTCAAATGGGTTAGCAATAACTAGAAAAATGTCAAATACTTATTATAATACTTATTTTATGCAACTAGGTGAACTTTTGGTTCCACAGTCTTGTTAAATATCTTGAGCACCCTAAAAAAGACTACACCAAAAGAATTGCTCCTACCAAGAAGAATTTCAATCCTTTAAGTGTTAATCAGTAATAAATTATAGGGAGATGTGAACTGGCAAAAGCCTTTTGAAATTCTGAACACAAAAGATGATCTATGAGAAGAAGTTTACTTGGCTACCTTGATTTCTTATTGGCTACGTAAGTTTGTACTTCTACATGATCCTGTGAATCTCATTCGTCCAAGCACCTTCAAATTTGCAAGTATGATCGCATCTGGTGAAATCTTTTCTTTGTCTATTCTTGTTTTAGCAAGTATCTATAGAGGCATTCGAGCAATCTTTACCGCTACAACTTTGAAGAGTTGTGAAGTACCATTGCTTGGTTAGCTAACCGTTTTGACACGCATTTTATGCATATTGTTGGCGGAGATGTTAAGATGACTTCCTATAATGGACAACGAATGACTAAATATTATAATGAAACTGAATTCACTAAACTTTTTATGGAAAGGAAAGCTTATTTGGGTCCATCTCGTATCATGAAGAAAGACTTCTTTTTGGAGGGTAATGGTAAGTTGTCTTCACATCAAGTGGAACACTTCATCAATCTTCGTACAAGCTTCTTGACTTTGCGCTATAAGAACCAATACATTATTGAATCATACAATCCTCATAGAGTTAGTGGACAACTAAGTTATTGCCAAGATCTTGCTGGTAAAATTGATATATCCTTTTTTAGGAGTAGCTTTGGAGACAGTCATACAACTTTGGGAATCTTGCGTTTATCTAGCTAGTGGTGCTAGACTAATTCTTCCTTTAGTGAGACTTGATGGTCGCTTTTCATGTATTGAAGCATATAAGGATTGATGGAAAATAGAATGGTCTAAAGCTTTTTCTTAAGATGAGATGCCGAATTTAAGACCAATGCCAAGCCGTCTCATTTGAAGAATTCAATTGTTGAAAAGGGCAGATATGTTCCTTCAAATCCTCCCTAAGAATCTATTGTTAAGAAAGATAAGAGAGAAGCACCAATGATGTAGAAGATAAAATCACAAGTAGCTGCTAATCCCTATAAAGAAAAGGTAACTAGCACTTCCATAAAGAAAGGCTCCTTTACAGAAGTTAGTAATGAATCAAATGCTTCAAATAATGACATCTCAATTAAGTTGCAACAACTCCTAATCAATTAGATGTAGTTGAAGATGCATTGAATTCTCACTCTAGTCAAAAGTGTTCTAGAAAAGATATGCTTAATCTATCTCCTTCAAATGAAGAGAAGAATGATTCTAATCGTTGTTGAAAGAAAGTAAAGTGAAATAATCAGCCTTCATCAGCACAACAATTTTATGATCATGATGACCTAGTAAGCTTTTGCTTTCTCTTTTTTTTTTTTAAACTTTTTTTCTTCTTCTTCATTTTTTTTTTAATTTCATACTTTCAAATTTACTTTACGAATTTCTTAATGCAGTTGGGCTTCAATGGCATGATTTGTGATCATGGACCTTGTGTATTGCCTTTAGATAGGATGAGTTCTATACTTGGGTAAGCTTTTGCTTTCTCTTTTTTTTTTTTAAACTTTTTTTCTTCTTCTTCATTTTTTTTTTAATTTCATACTTTCAAATTTACTTTACGAATTTCTTAATGCAGTTGGGCTTCAATGGCATGATTTGTGATCATGGACCTTGTGTATTGCCTTTAGATAGGATGAGTTCTATACTTGGGCAAGCTTCTTATGACCTCCCTTCAATTACTTCGAAGGATCTTGATGGGAATCCTCTACTGAAAGAGTCTAACACT